GAGAATTACAAAATTAATAGTTGAGCGAGCCCAAAGAATAGGGACAGTTATCGCCGTTCAAGGCAGGTCTAGGGGCCAACTGCTTCTCTCCCTTGCAAGCTCGCCTGACATGTTTATTGATCGTTTACACAATAAAAATCAAGCTGATGTAATCTCCACATGACTCATTCATTAAATTTTCCTGTGGCTGCACAATATCGTCTTTCGTTTGTTTGTTTTTATGCGGTCTACATGGGTAAAGCATACTGTAAAGCCTTATGCTCGAAGAACTCCATGCCTGTCTGACACTCATTGCCTTGCAGTCCTTTAGGAATTCCTGGTATCTGTCAAACATTATTCAAACATCACACGTTTTGTAACCCCCTAATAAGTCAGCATCTATGGATCTCGACACTGAGGTAGATATTACTGGCCTGTTCTGGATGCTTGAAAAGTTCTTTGCATCGTATGGTTTATGTATGGACTCTTTTGCTTGCTGGTTACTTATTTTATACTTGCAGTTGGACACACAAGGAGACTCAGGCTACTACATCTGGAGCATCTGTCACCAGTGGTCCAATTACACTGTTCTACCTTGTTTATGGTGACAGCATTGAAAAGGCGTTTAAAGTTGTCATTGAGAAGGACAAAGACGTCAATGATCTCAAGATAGCCATCAAGGAGAAGAGACAGAGCATGCTCCATAATATAGATACTGCTGACCTCGTGTTGTGGAGAGTGAATATTCCCACACATGAAAAGACAAAGGTCGAACTACTCAAAAGCAGCGAAGCAGATATCGAAAAGGATTTAGGGGGTGTGAAGATAGTAGATCCAACAGCAGATATTAGTGAGGAATTTGGTGCACTACCCCCCAAGAAGCATATCCATGTCATCATCATGCGCCTGCCTCGTAAGTAGTAGTAGTATGACATCATTGTTAGCCAATTCTTAGCCACTCGCTTATGATGTCGACTAATTTGCGCACTCTGCTTGCTTTACTCATTGCCATTATTAGAGTCTTCTTGAAGTATTTCCATCTACGAGTATGGCCTTACCATTTCAACGTCAATGTCTGCAATCACTCACAATATCAAAACCCTCACACACTTTAAATCTTTTGGCACTGACCTCTCATTTCTGGATTCGCTGTCACATGCTGAAAAATGCAACATCATCGAGGTTTTTAAGAACACACAGCCACCCAACCCTGAATGGATGAAAGAAATTGAACAGGTCCAACCATGGCTTCAAAATGTTTACGAGAAATTGGCTGCAGTCTTGGATCTGGCTGTGAACTGGGACACTCGTTGTGGCGGTCAGCAGGATGAAATTTATGCCAACCACTATCTTATGCGTCGGGATTGGTCACATCTGTGTGATGCTAATGCTAGCCCTATTACTATGGCTAAATCAACAATCTATATTTACACTCGTGTTATAAGTGAATGCAATTAGCATCTGGGTATAAAAGCAAGATGAATTCGTCCTTCGCCAAAACAAAAACCCTGCTGCAACATATCTCAAATTACTCAAAAAGACTGTGAATGGTTTCTTCTAATTGCAAACGAAACATTTGCATTATCCAAAAAGCTTTTATTCAATAAAAATGGTTTGTTATATTGTCTTCTGATAGGAGTCAACATGCAGACAAGAATGCTAATTGATTTCCACTTGTAGAAATTTCTCTACAAAGTCACAGAAGCTTTTGTGCTTTTGCTTTGCCTTGCTTTGGTGTTTGCCAACAAGATCAACTTGCATGCAGTTTTTACCATTGCATGCTTTCTTTTGTACATCAACAACTGCCAACAAGCTGTTGCACATAGCATGGTGATTGACAAACTCAACAATATTAATGAGAATCTGCATGAAATTCACAATAACTGCAACTGGGTTAGACCACATAACAACCAAATCATATGATGGAGACGTTTTAACTCTCTGGAACAAGTTTGCTCACCTCTTTGATGCAAAGAGAAAAACCAACGATGTTAGCCTGTCTGAAATGTACTGCAAGATTAAGAGAGAGATCGATGACTTTGGGAAGGGTACCATCAGAACCTCCACGTTGGATAACTTTTACAAGTGTAGAACGAATCCCAAACCAAAACCTTAAAAGTGATAGCATTATCAGTCACCGAACATTTCACAAAATTTTTGATTGACTTGCAATTTCATATAAGGTTGCACAAAATAATTATTTGTTTTGATCTTGA